TTTATTATGAATAATTCAATTGTTATATATTTTCATATCGAATCTTTATTAGGAATTTGATAAAACCTATGAATCTACAATTAGATGTCTACAAGATTTTAATATCAATATCATTATTCTTTTTCTTAATAAGAAGAAAAAATTATTAAATTAATGAATCTACCTATATATATATATATATATATATATAACTTATTGTAGCTTGACTAGAATAGTTGCTGATGTATAAATGATTGCATCATTATAAAAATATAATTTCAATACAAATATAATTAAATAATGCTTCTTAATTTTGCTTCTTATGCCAAATCTATCCATCCAATCCCATCTAATTTATCATATTATTATTAGACTGCACAATTTTTTTCCTATCTTCAATACTCTAATGCTTATGTTAATTGGCAAATTTTAAGTACACTTAATAGTATAAATGTAACAACAATGGGTTCTTGGTCTCTTTTTCAAATGCAACCAATTATTGTAGAAGTAATATTGAGTTGAATTATCACATGACACAATAAAAATTCTTATTCCAATATTTATACATCTATATATATACATCTATATATATATATATATATATATAACAACTTACATGGTGATAATTAGACAATCTAAGTAAATACAACTTAAATTTTAGACCAAAATAACATATATATATATATATATATATATAAAAGAGTGCAACAATGCCTTACTAAGTTAAAAATAAAAAAGAAGTACAACATAGACTAAAATAGTGCAACATGAAGTAACAATAGAGGTTCTAATAGTACTTGTAATGAATAATAAGTAACAAATTTTAAAAATTGTCTCAATAAGTGGCACATATAATTATAAAGAATTTTTTTACCTACAAACATATCTTTATAAAAATCTTCTATAATACAAATTTCTAAACTATATACTAATAATTTTACCTAATAGATCAAGTATCTACATTTTTTTATTTTAAAAAATTATAAATTAGATAAAATTTGAAAACATTTAGAGAATTTTTTAAGTCACTTTAGATTAATTATTATAAGAAAGTTATTTGCTTAGACACCATTCTCCTTACAAAAAATTATTATTAATCTTAATTTAGGAATAGAAATCATTTGACACATCTTTACTCATATTTCTTTATTGTACATATTGTTATTATCTTAAATATTTGAATTTGCATGATTAAAGTTGGTGTAAAATTAATCAATCAATACTTTTGAGTGATTGTCATTGTTACATTTAGTAGTGTTGTTGACACGTTAATAACTAAATAATCTTTGCATACCATCAAATAATTTTTGTTTGCTTATTTAAAGCTCCATATATAAAAATTAATGTTGCATACAATCATCTATTGAATTTGCTTTCCATAGCCACTTTTAGAACTATAACTTCTTATACAACTTTTATAAATATTATTTGTTTTTGTATTTAGAGCCATCATTAAATTTAAGGTAGTATACTCATAAGATGTGCTTAGCAAGGCTCTTTTTAGCTTTGGAGTTATTTATAAAGCGTTATTGCATGCAAGCTATTCTTGTATTATTGACCCTTAAGAATCTCTTTATGGCATTTTATGTAAACTATCAACAAGATTTTATTCTTTTTTACATAAGAAATGCCTTGCATTCTATGTTTGCTTGATACACCATTTTTTTTTGTAAATAGATTTTTAAATCAAATTAATCCAATTTAAATATATTATTTATTTAGTTACTGATTTGTTTATTATATAATTGCTTAAGGTATTATCATTTTGATTATAGACTTTATTATCTTATAGAAATAAGAAGATTCAATCATCTATTTGCAATGCAACATCAATCCTATCAAACTTTAAATTTGCAATAATAAAGAAAAAAATATATCAAATATTCTTTTTTATAGTATATAATTGCAAAAACAACCATCTTATGACTAAGTAGATATAATCAGTTTAGATTATAATCTTCTTTTGCAATATAAGATTAGTAACAAGAACTTTAAATTTCCACTCCATATCTTCTTTAGTAGTCACTTAATATTATGGTTTAAATAATCAACCATTATCCACATCTTCTTCAAATCTAACAACAATGCATAAAGCAACTAACTTAAATTCTTTTGGAAAATTCTTTAGTGCGATCCAAATTGGTATACATAGAGCTTCCAATCCAAACATTTGATCTAAATGCCATACAATTTAGAAGTAAAAAATAAGATGCATAATTAAAATGTACATAATATACATATATATATATATATATATATATATCTTCCAATTAGTATAAAGACTTGAGAAGGGTTTAGAAAAATACATCTTTTGACTCCTCCCAAATATACCAATAATAATAATAATAATAATCTATTAATATTATGATATAGTATAAATTTATCATGCGTAATTTCTTCTAAACCTTGAATCCACTTTGTAAATGTTTTGGAGAATAGTACACCAACAATAAAATTAGACACAATAACTTGTTTTTGAAGGGTTTGAGTTTTGGTAGTACCTAAGTCAAAATCAACAACATTTTTTTGCAGTTTAGTTCTTAACATAAAATTTGAGTAGCAATGACTAAAACCAGTAGGAAGAGTTTCACCAAGATGTTTCTTTGTTGGGAAGAGTCAACCTACTTACCTCCACTCGCTGCAAGCTTCTACCACCCCCATGTGGATATACATACTATTTTATGTTGTATTTCCATCTGCTTGAGACCCTCCTTGCACAAGAATAGTATTGTGCACCATATCTACGTAAGAGAGAAAAGTGGTGCAAATCGATTCACCAAACAGCGCTTGAGAGAAGGAAGTGAATAAAAGGGCCTAGTCGCTGCTCCATTTGGCATCCGCTGCAGAAGCATAAGATCGGATCGATCTGCGGAGGGAAAGTTGATTGCTGATGTCACGAGATTCGGAAGAAAGAAGTAATGTTGTGTTTAAACAGAACAAGGCTTTTAAAGGTTCTAAGCAGAATAAAATCCTTCGATATTGTGTCAAATAACGATCCTTGGCACGGAAAAGTATGTGGATTGTCTTTCTTTCCATTGTCAGATTTTAGTTCGCCCCTTTCTTTTCACTAAAAAACAATAAAAAGTTGGAGACAAGAGCAAGCGATCTACAGTGGTGGCGCATCGAAGAGAAACGGAGATTGAATCTGTCCAACTTCACAATATGGACAATCATGCTTACGCACGCTTAGCTCTCTTCCCAGCTAGTTTTGTCTCCCATCCCGAAAGGCTGCCAACAATGGCATCTCCGAATCTCGGCATGCGACATAGGCTCAATGAATTAGGGTTTCAAACTAGCTCAAGCCCTAGCCGTGGGCCAAGGCGAGGGGGTGCTGGCATTCACCTCCTTAGATACCACCTTCGAATTTCGTTTCCTTACCCATCAATGCATGACAGTGGTAGCTCGTCCATAACTGCGACCCCTACTGCCCAAAATTCTTCGCTCAAAGTCGAGTTAATCACGACGCATACCCCGGAAATATAATAACCCAATAAACCAAAATTCCGAATCCAATTTCCCAGAATGAACAAATGCAAAATTTCCTTGCGTTCACGATAAGATGCGGGTAGATAAGGCATCAATGCTTGTTGGCCGATAGCAGGAAGATCTGACTCCGTTGCGTGAAAAACTTTCCCGTTTTTGCTACGCGACAGCTTCCAAGACCTACAACGTCAGCCCTATATTGTTTCATAGAGGAACAATTTCGAAAGGTAAAAGGAGTAATCCAGTAGATTCCCAGCATGGGTTGGATGGAGCGAACAAGTCAGTGCTGTTGATGAATGTTGATAAATTTAGTAAATTTAAGGAAATTAAAAGAATTCATGAAATATATTGAAAAAAATATTCACCTTGTGGTTACCATATACAATTTAAAGCAATATTGGAAAGTTTCATTGCTAGTCCTGAAGAGTGACTGTGGCCGTCAACAGTGGCTCTCAATAGTTTTGGGTGCTGCCCGCTGCCCGAAGCGGCACCAGATGAGGCCCAGCAAGGTTTTAATACTAGTGAAGAAACACCACACCACTCCACACATCGTTATTTGAAGCTCTGTCCACTGTTTGGAGCTGCCCTGCATACAAAAATCTCAAGTGTGATTAAAGATTATAAGATCCATTCATGGCATTTTGAAACACACCGTAAAAACTGTCATGCAGGGGCTCAATATTCTCGCTAGAAACTAGAACAGGCGAATCGAAATCTGCCACTTCATGTAAAGAGACTCCTTGTTTGTGCTTTTGGACTAGTTTTGATTCAACACTTGTCGTCTGCAACACTCACCGCTCTGAGGACCTGCATCCTTAGTGAAGCATGAGCCTACTTATGAAATAATACAAGCTGGATAGTGTATCTGGGGGACATTCCTAGGAAAGAAGGAATGGCTTCACATGTGTTGAGGGGAAGTCAGCGTCGACGAGAGTTAGACAGGAAACATTTCCTCAAGTCCAGATAATAACAGGGTATATCAGTCACTATCAACTTGTCGGCATGTTGCAACATAGGTCTGTTGTAAATGCAAGGAATAAGCGGTATAAATGTTCTGGGTGGACACGATCATAACAGTAGTAGAGATACTGATCGTGATGGAGTGTGATAGGAACTTCTACCGATGAACCTGTCATTGAAATATGCTTGAGAAGCAACAGAGGAAGGCGCTAACAGGATCCTATATCCAATTTTGCAGGATGTAGGTATTTCAAGTAGATGTACTTGGTTAATACTTTTCTACTCTCGCATCTACATTCCTTCTCATAGCAAATACTCTTTGCTGAGAAGACTAGGTACATTGTGACAAAGATAGGAGATTGAAAGGACTATTAACTTTGGTTCAGTACATCCATTTTAAAACGGACACATGTTCCTGCAGTGAAAGGTTGTCAAGAAGTTTTAGAAGAATTAGCAAGCGAAGTAGAAAACTACGGATCCACACCCTTTTGGTATCTGTGCACATTCATTCACCTGTATATGTCAAAAGTAACCTGCTAGATTCATTTCAGATAGTGCAACAATGCACAAGTAAGCTGTGAGAGGAAAATCCTGTGAGACAACTTAAGCAGAAGCATTTGCTTCGCATCCAAGGAAATTTCTGAAAATCCTTCCCAAAACAGCTTTGTAATTAGCGTGTTGATGGGAGTGATCCTCAGTCCATGTGTGTCTTGCCCCCACTTTATTCTTTGTCCAACATATACCAAGCTTACAAGTCTTTTGGGTGCACACAAAGCAAAGAAAATATTGCGAGCCGGACAGGCTGTACAGAATGTACACGCCACTTTTTTTCATCCATTTGAGATGTCAGATCGTCACCAGTATGACCTCAAGGATGTCGAATGACTTGCAGGAAAAGTTTGCCGCATTCGTCATTGAATAAACATGTGTACGTAAATTGCCTCACACAAAAATAGTCAACAATAGAGCCTGGAGATATTAGAAGACTCTCATGGTCTACTGGGAGAAAACACCTAAATTTGTAACATCCATCACTACTCCTCGGCAGCGCTTGCTGCGCTTAGGTCCACGCTCAGATCCAGATTCTGCATCCATACACAAAATCCATCACACCGAGATCTAGAAAATATGGATAAGGGATAAAGTCGAAACTTTACAAATCAGTGTCAGAATCAAGGGCACACCAGTCACTTAACCTCAACTTACAGTTCACATATATGGGATGTGGAAACGGCTCGTAACAAGAATCTAAATAATTACTTCGACAAAACAGAATCACAAAAAAAAGAGTTTGGAAATGACCAACTGATATCCTCATTACAAGGGGTTCGCAAAACTGGATCTCAATACAAGAAGTGGAGGAATAGTCAAGCTCAGAACTGACCTTTCCAGTGATTTTGGTATACATTGAAAGTACATCTTGCACTGTCGTCTCGAAGTGAGTTGTTGGATCGTAGCTCTGCCACACGTACAGAAAGATCAAACTACTTAACACACATGATCCAGAAATGGTCACCAATAGATTTGAAGTGAATTTAACCCTTCAACTTCATCGCCAACCCTGCTGGACATTCGAATTTTTTTGGTAATAGGCTAATACCTTCGAAATGAAGCAGTTGTCAAGTGAAGAATCATTGACTGGCTCGTACATGTCATACATGTCAATAATCTTCTCATCAATTTTTCCAAGGAGTGCAAGCCCTGGCTCAAGCTCAGCTTCAGGATTTTCAGTCTCCACCTCTGCTGAAACGAATGCTATATACTTGCCTTTAGGTGCAACATTGTGAGAGTGAGAGCAGCAGAACACATACCTGCCAGCAAGCCACAAACAGCACAGTGGTTAATAAAAAATTAACACTAAAGAAATCTAGAAAGTGCTTTTATGAAACAAAACTCAATTTTTTAAAGAAACATGATGTGTTGTAAAAGATCCCTCTTTGAGCCAAACTTAGCAACACAAACGATTATACACCATTTCATAATTTTAATCATTTATAAAGCTACACGACTTACATGTCTGATCTGCGACCAAGTTGCTTTTGCGGCAGAATTATTTGAACCGAATCAGAGTCACTAGTATTTGGAATTGGATGGCTCATGAAGCAGATAGCGCGCACAACCTTCCCGACCTTCTTAACCTGGAGGAGCAGGTGGTTTTATGCATCGCATAAGTCAACCCATACCATGTGTAAGCCTACTATTCTCTACAAGTTCACGATAGACTGCTAGCAACAACTTTCAAATCACAAAAATTACCTTATTGGGCAAATATGAAGGGTCACAAACAACTTTCTTGGCCTTCACGGTCTCACCCTCAGAGGTGACTCCCACAACTTGACCCATCTCATCAAATTCAACCTGTGGCACCATGATTCAATTAGAACTGTATGAAACGAACATAAAAATGTCATTACAACTAATCCATTTTCACAAATTTAGAACATGACAATAACAACACTAACTCACAGCATGTCTAGATATATACCTTGCACTCGGGTTTGGCAAGCATGTAGGTGCCGCCGTAGACAGCACTGAGACGAGCAAACCCCTGTATACCAAAAGTTACCGTATTACTATATCAGAGTGGGCATAGGCGCCAGGCGTTCGCCAAAAACCGTACTAGTACTAGCACTCTTCACTAAGACACAGACCTCTTAACAGTAATCGTACAAGGCAATTCAGAGTTCCAATAAATATTCGTCAAAATATGGTATCATCCAACTCCCAACCCAGGCTTAGAGCCTAATATGAAAAATGGTTCACAGTTACTGCTGACATACTTAACTTAACTTCACTCTGACAGGCAGCACCGTGAGGAATGAAGCAAACTAATTCCTAACCTGTGGCAACTCGCCGAGGCCATATAGCGGATAAATGTAGGGTGATCCTCCTTGGAAGCGAGCCATTGACTCGGCGTAGAGCTGCACCAATTTCATGACAATACAAATTAAAGGGATGCAAAACAATACTAAGAAATTGGTTTACTACACCGAAAGAGCTACAGCTTAAAAACATAAAACATGAGAATAAATGAACTGAAAAAGAAAATCATACTTTCACTCTTTTCACAGTATCCAAAGCTGGCTCAGTCAAGAAACGATCGTCACGATGCAACGCTAGCGAATGTCCGACGAAGTCAATTGTGTTAGCATCAAGCCCGAACTTCCTGCATGGCCGTTTACAAAGTGAGCTGTAGAACATCATAGAAACACTATCACAGTGAAAACTTCCTGATAGCATTTACTACCGCTCTCAACAAATTCCTCGGAAGGAAAGGTGTGCACTCGGAAGCATGCGGATTTGCAAACTCTAAAGCAAACAAATGAGTCTTAGATAAGTTGATATACTCGAAGAGCTCTTTAGTTGGAACTGCCCGCAAGTCCATTCCTTCGTGTGTCTTGGCGTCGGCCTCCTCATAGTTCTGGACAAAGATAAAAAATTTGCGGGCACGCCTCTTTTCAAATAGTCCCATCAAAGGAGACTTCAGTGCCTCCACGTCATTTGATGGAACCTTGTAAACCTATAAACATGACAAAGAGAGGAGTTGAATAAGGGAAAAGTAGGAACAGAGAAGAGAAGTAACCTAATGGATCCGGCTCTCAGTTCAAACAATATTTTTTAAGCGCGTAGGAATCGGAAATACATTGGAAGTATGAGATAGGAACAAAACGCATCTATCTAAGAATGACTTGATAATTTACCGGTACTTCACACTACTAATGTAACGTTCTTGAACAAGAAAGACGAGTGCACACCTTTCCTTGATTGTAGACGTAGCTTCCATCAACAGCCTTAAACAATAAATATTTTGTCACATCCGTGTGAATGAGAACTCTCACAAGGGTACCGTTCGCCATCATAAACTGCAACAGAAAACAAAAATCAAAAGCTGCCAATTATATCTATTTTAAAAATTGTTTGAAAAGATCTGCTACCCTCATAGTAAGGATATGACAATCACTACAATATTTTACAATCCATGATGCAGAAAAACATGCGTAACGTGCAAGCACAGTTTACCTTGGGAACCATGTCCACGTTATACTCCTTGCTGGAGCCCAAGAAGGCCGGAGGTTTCTCATCCCCTCTAAACTTTTTCCATAACTGCGCGAAAAAAGCAATACAAGCGATGATTATGGAAAGATCATATGCTTCAAAAAGAGAAGCTGGAAAATATATTGCGGAAATCCAGATCACAATCACTTCCGGTCATCATCGTAGCTCGCGGATGTAATAAAAAAAACAATATATATTTCTCGTACTCTTGGTTAAAGATTTCAATTCACTAATACTTCACATGGAAACAAGTCTTCAATCACTCACGAAAAGTGCATTTTATTCCTAAAAATCACTGTCATGCAGAGTACTTACAAACATGGCTAGAGATGGTAGATGATAGTACGATCACTTATTTTCTAAATGACTCGTAATTCGACTACATCTCGCTACAAATCAAGATAAATCAATCAACCTAAAGTAGCTTCTTCCAAAAGCTGATCCAATCGGTAGCGAATCATCCTCACCTGGTTCAAGTTCAGTGATGCCGAAGCTCCCCCGTAGTAGTCATTCCTATCCATATGAAGCACCTGTGCCATGCCGCCACATCAAGAAAACGTACAAAATCGTACGAATCTCAAAGAATCCCGATCACCAACTGAAAACTGTTCCCTCACGTCCCTCTCAATCCGGCAGTACAGAAACCAAAGCCATCCACCACAATGCATCTCGATCGCCGCATGAAGCCATGAAATAACTTCCAATGTCTGCATCTTTAGATCCCTAGAACTCCAACAAGACCCTTACAAAAAATAAAACAGGCCAACAAACAAATTCCCCTCAAATATACGAAAAAACATCCGATTAGGTCTGCAAACCAGCATTCCAGCCCAAAACGCAGCACACTTGCATCTCAAACATTCAACCTGAACGCGAAGCTATCAATCTCCAAGCTACACACACACATGTCAACCCAGATCGAGGGAGGGAGACGCCACCTTGAGGCGATCAACGGAGAGCAGTCCACTGAGAATGCATTCCTTGAGGCCAGTGCCGAGCACAATCACGTCATAATCTTCATCCATAGCGAAGGTGCCGAATACACAAGGAAATGCACGATACGAAGAGTGAGAGGAGAGCAGCCGGAGGAAGACTAACAAGAGGGAAGCAGGCAGAGCAAGCGAGACAGCGAGAGATCAAGGCACGGCCTCTTGAGCATCCGGAGCCCCCCGAATTGTAGATGTAGGATAGACAGGTGCATCGACGACGACGACGATCGGGACGATCCGGACGATCGTCGATGCGACGACGACGAAGATTGGAGGAATACGGCGATGGCGACGACCACGGAGAGGATTCAGGTGCGTGGCACGTGCCCGGCATGGCCCCATGCCCGGCCCCTGCCACGGTGATGCCCCATTGCCGCCCAATTTCAGGTCCTTTTTTAGAGTTCTTCTTAGAAACGAAAGTTGGAATGCTTTCCACTCTCTTTTTTTCCTTTCCTATTTTCTCTCGAAAAAAAATGATGTAGATATACAACATGTCTTCTATACATGAGAAGATCTTATTTCAACACTATTGATTTATTGCATTTCTTATATCAGTGATGCTTGTGTATAGCTATTTGTGTAGACGTTAAGTGTTGAGTTCAAATCATGAAACCACTCTGGTCATTAAAAATAAAAATGAAATAATACATGTAGATATAAATATTATTGATTATAAAACCTGCATTTCTTTTTTAAATATTTATAAAATATAAATCTTTGAATTTTGTTTGTTGTGATATTTATTGTTTCTATTCTTTATTAACATAGTATGCTTCTGGGCATAATTAGAGTATAATGCTAATGAAACAGATGCATTAATGTGTTAGATTTATTATTTTATATTTGGCAATGTTTTATACCAAGTTTAAAAATATATTCTTAAATTACTTTAAAAAAAAATCATCTGACAAAAAAGAAAAATACACAATGAATTATAGGCATCATATAAAGAAAACATTATATATATATATATATATATATATATATATATATACTATTAAACATTAAATATTAAATATAATATATATTAAAAGATAATAGTTTTTTCATGTTTTTGGTTGAGAGATCCATCTTGATTGCATATTTCTTTCATTGGTTGCAACTTCTAATTTGGTTCATAAAGGGATATGTTTTAAACAACTTATATTAATATAATTAAATATTTAAAGCTAAAATAATGTAACAAATTCAAAACTATTGATAATATCACCTTCATTATAAGAATAGAAGTTTATGTCTTTACACAGAACACAATGAAAAATAAAATAAAAATATAATCCTAAATAAGAGGTTAGTGCATAAAATATTATTAAAAATATATGTATCAAAACAATTGAAGGGTTTTTGTGGATATCTACTAAATTTGAGATCATTTTAAATATTATTACTAACTTAAAAGTAGATTCTTTAAGTACCTTAAATTACTCTTGAACTTAAAAAAGTTAAACAATAAAATAAAATAAAATAAAACCATTAAGTGGACACTCTTTTTTTTTTTTTTTTTTTTTTTTTTTTTACTATGTGACCACCTTCCTTTTACTTTGTGGACACCCCTCTTTTACTATGTTGACATCCCCCTTTTAACTATGTTGACACCTTTTTTTTTATTGCACAAACACCTTCTTTGCCACACCAGCAATATACTACAATAACAAGTATTATTTTGCAAGCTAGACATTATTGGGGTTGGAAAATATAAAAATAACAACAAATAAAACAACATAATCCACAACACTTGATTATATATGATCTAAAAAAAGCAAGTAAATAAAAAGAGATGTCCATATAGTGGTTTTACTAGACTAACAACTTTATTTTATTGTTTGTTTTGTTTTCTTCTATTAGCTTCTATACTTCAGATATTCAGATGTTGTAGATTGTTAATATCATTATTCCTTTCAAACTTGTAAATATCCAACTTATTGAAAAACTTGTAATAGTATTGTATTGTTGGCTTCCATGCAATAAAACAATGGGCGTGTGCATAGAATTTTCCAAAAAAATGTACATAAATTAGAAAATGAAATGATTCGTTTTTTACTTAAAAGATATAAATTAGATATTTATATATATAAAAAAATACTAGGGATGGTAGATTTTTAGTTAAAATAAATAATTATAAATAGCCTTTACATCAATATGATATTATATAGAATTCAAGATATATATAATGTTTAAGGGTTAGAAATAATGTTGACAAGATTTATATTAAATGTTTTATTGTAATAACTTCTAATTATTTTATGATTTTAATATATCAAATTACACATTAATATACAATGAACCAACTTAGCATACATGCATTTTAAACAAATTAAAATTATATATATATATAATATTGATATCTTTTAGAACTATATACAAATTAAAACTAATAAAAACAAACAAACAAACAAACAACATATAAATCATCATATATATTAATCAAGTCCTAAAACTTCATAAACACCTTCCATCTAAACCAAAATTCCAAAATGAACATAGAATTAAACCATACAAGGCACTTTGGACCCACTTAACCATTTCCCAAAATTCCAAACCACCACAGCCCTAATTGCAACCCTAAAACTTTGCACCCAAACGTACACTCTTCCAACAAGAGTTGCCTTCAAGCCATTCCCACAAATTTGGAGTGTGTGGTATCCATTGAAAAGCAATCCAAAGCAAAGAAGTGATGCAGGAAAAACAAAAAGCAATTCAGCTACAATAAGCAATTCAAAGTCTCACCCGCAAGATCGAATTACAGCCACCGAAGCAAAACTAGAGAGAAGCCATAATCTAACAAAAGCTTTCCCCGAACGCACCTACTCAAGCGCGCTGGAGCGTCGGTGCGGGAGCCGATTCGATGCGAGGCTCGCAAAGTTTCGGGATTCCGTATTCTACAGATGTTGATCGAAGCGTCAACGATGCGGCAATGGAGGCGATTCGGATCAGCCGCGGCCATGCAGGACGTCAGGAGTTTTGAGACCGCGAGGGAACGGAAGCTCCACGCGCTCCTTGACGATGCACTTCACCACGCCGTCGTCTTCGATGCGCTTGTAACCGGGCGGGCACTCGAAGATCGGCGTCGGCCTCGACCTGGGTTCTGACCGCGGATCTGGCCTGGTTGCTGGCTCTGACACTGGCCGCGGAGCGGTTTGCAGGTGCAGTTGCTGCTGTGGCGCTGCGGCCGGTCTGGGCTCCACTTCATCCGACGACTTTCTGGGGTTCGGAGACTTGGGGTTGAACTCCGAAGCAGCGAAAATTGCAACAACCGATACTGCCACTAACAATACTTTTCCTGTGAATGTGATCATGCCGCTGAAAACCCTAGAAAGCCCGCCGGGTGATGCACTAGTTGCTTCGCCTCTGTGCGTCGTTGTGCTCATATCAGCAGCGCGAGTATCCGTGGTCATGTCGCTGCCCACGTCGGTGAGCATCTCAATGCGCTTCTCAGCGGCCGACTCAGTGCCCATCCCAGTGTTCACAGCTTCCGAATCCGATACGGGTTCATCTATAAGGAAGAGGCCGTCATTAAAAGATGATCGGTCATCCAGCTGCTTCACAAGACTGGGTTTTTCCGCTTTGACTGATCGGAATACTGGAGACTCGCTGTATATTGAATGAGAGACGGGGTGGAGGTAGGGCGGTAGGGGAAGGTCGTCCGTCTTCTTCACTGGCTCCCCTGCGAATGTCATCGCTTCCTCCACCACTTGCATCTCCCTGCCATGGTGCTCTTTCAGCCGTTGCAACAGAACTCTTCTGCTTTCCTCAAGCTCCGCTAACGCTGCGTCCTTTCGGATACGCTGTTGCTGTTGTACAGACTGAGCATTGACACATGAGGAGAAATGAACCGTCAGCAGCTTGCACAGACGACAGAAATGCATTCGAAAATTTGTACATGGTCCCTTTTCAAATCATTGCATGTTAATGTGGACGAAATTGTTTTTACTCATGTGAAGCTACACAAATATCAACAGCAACCCCTGGTCAATATGAAATTGTGAAGAACGGTGTCTATGTCTAGTAGGTCACTTCCAAACACTTCTGAATTGCGAATGGTAACCGGGGGCAAGTCAGAAGCGCAAAGGCCCAACTTCGGATGGTGCAATGTGGCGAGAACGAGACGCTCCTCGTCAGAACAAGCCTACAGCCGAGTTTCAGTAGCTAGCCAGGGATTTAAAAATTCCTAAAGTAAAATGCGGCCAGAAAGAAGAGGGGGAAAAGTGCGGGGGTGCAGAATTAACAATAGACCCCACCTAGTAGGCTTCCTGCATCCCGGTCAATTAATTTGATGCTCTTCACTCGTCCCCGCTCCTAAAAATTGGCTAAGACGGAACTTGCAGAGACGAAATTACAGCGCCTCTAGTAATTGCAACACTATGAAAGTGCGTTACTCACACTAAAATGCGATTACTGTGTACACCAAAACCGAAGCCGCAGCTCCGAAGCCACATCAAACTAGAAATAAAATGATATACAATAAACACTTCAGTTTTTGTTCTACGACCACAGCCAAATCCCACCGAGAAGCCAACGCGTAAGGCACCTGAAGCGACTCCAGCTGCGTTTCCAGCACCTCCAGCGCGTCCCGAATGCATTCCAAGCTGCGCACCTCCTCCTCGAACGAACTCCCCCCTACCCCAGCCTCGTCATCGTCGTACGCGGCGCCATTGTCCAGCAACCCATCCCCTAAATGACGCGACTGGCTCACTCTCTCGATGGCATCGCAAATGCTGGCATGCAGCTCACTAGCTCTTGTCATCACCACCCCTATGTCATCGGGCTCCATTGCCATCAGATCCTACCCCCACACCTAATTCTCCACTTCCACCACAATAGCAACAAATTCAACCCCAACCCCAAACTTCGACGCCACCCTACTGACACCACCCCGCGATTCCACGCCCAAGCGCCAAATCACCGCACGCACCAGAGCCACACCATCGTCCGCCACCGAGCCCGCACGGGTGTCGGTTTCATCGCGGCTGTGGATTCCTGCGCCAGGCGGACGACTCTATCTCGGAGATGGTCCGCAGCTGATGTCGTCCAAGGTGTGATTAGCCGAGCATGTACCAATGATGGTCGCTAAAACCCGCGAGGATTATAGCAGGTGAGCTAGAAATTAGGTGAGGATTCTATGGAGAGGAGTGGCCCGCTCCCGCTCTCCAGAGCGACCAAGCGAGTGCGCGAGTGCGTGCGTGTGCGAGTGAGTGCGTGAGTGTTGCTGGTCGGCGTCGATGGCCATCCCGGTCTTTGTTGACGGTGCCGATCTCTCGTCGTCCACACTTCCGTCCTCGTCTGGTGTCTCCGTGCGTGCGGTGCACTTGTGCCGTTTCGTACACAGCTCTTGTGCTGCACTTGCCCAGGCCAACGTTACTGCCATTGCGCTTGTGTGACGAAGATACTGCTGACGCCGTATCCGAAGCTGGTAAAGAGGCCGTTTGTTATTCTTGACCTCCGTGGGAGTTGTGGTGCACGAGGAGGCGCTGGCTTAACTATTATCAAAAAACAAAACTGGGTGTAAAGAATGGAAAGAATGCAAATGAATAAATGATTGATTAATTTTATCACATACTTTATTCACAAGATGTTGATACAAATTTTTTGTTATCTTTTTTGGAATTTTAAACTTAAATTTTCGTCTCGTATATATATATATATATATATATATTAAGAAATTAAAGTACTAAAAAATAAAATTTAATAGTTTAATTGATGTATTGTATTATTTCTTTGAAATTGCTAATCAAAGTATAATGAATTATTGTAATTTTCATGCCCTTGATCCAAGTATTATAATATCCATGAAGATTTGAATATAGTGTTTTTTTTTTAAAAAAAATTTAAAGATTAAAATAGTAATTAACTACTAGTACTACTTTTGAATATAAAACATTGAGTGTTTTTAATAATTATTAAAGCTATATTAAGAAGTGATATTAGATTTTGAAAGTGGTGCTATAAGGAACTAATGTTGGAATTTGCTAGATATTTAAAATTTACAATTTCTTTCTACACAATTTTGTTGTAGATTCAATCATCCAAAGCCCATGATATTTTTTTAAAAAAAATACTAAATCTATGCATTGCCTTTATATTCAAGTTATTATCTTTGTATAATAATTTTATTTCTTTTATTTAAGTGTCATATATTATAATTCTATCAAAACATCTTAAGATATCTTTGATATACCTAAAAATTTAAATAAAAGAATGTTTGTGAAAAAACATTTATCACATATAATAGATGCATATATTACATTAGTAAATAGAAGTAAGTAGAAGTAGATAGAAACATGTTGAGAAGATTATATCTTCTTTAAGAAGCCTCAAACAAGCTTTTAAGACAAATTACATATTTAGACTATTATAGATATTAACAAAAAATTACAAGTTTTTTTTACTTAAAGAAGTTGCATTAGAAGCAACCTACAACTTTATACTTGGACTACGAATCTTGTGGTTTTTAAGAAGCTTCTAGAAGATCTTCTTTGTAGCTAGTATATATGAAGGTAAAATTGAGGCCATCTTTAACCTTATTAACTTCTTTCTTGTGTTCAAGTCTTATTTCAAGACTCTCTAGTGACTTTGTATTTGGTATTAGAAATTCTATTTTTTTGTATCTTGTAATTATCTTTTTTTTCTTTCTTTCTTCTATCTTCAATGACACATGAGTATATTGTTATTTGATTTTTTTTTAGATTCATGATTTTAACACTAAAAATATAATATGTAATATCTAATAATATTTAACAATATCAAATTTTAAACATAACAACAAAAAATTATTTTCTTTTTTTTATAGAATTTTTATTATAAAGATGAGTTAACCTTAGATGTTATCATAATCATATAGATATTTTTTAATAAAATAATTTAAATTAAGAGTGTCCAATTCCAAAAAAATTAGGCTATATAAAATCAATATTTATAATCTGGATTTTAAAAAATCTAAAAATAAACTTCTATGCAATTTTTGGCTTTTTAGACATATATTAGTATACAATCTGGCAATTCAAAGTTCAATTAAACTTTGTTACAAGTTTGGTTGATATTTAGTAACCACTTTTGAATATCAACAAATTATTATATTTTATATCAAATATCAATTTGCATCACTAATCTAAGATAATTTTTTCTATCAAAGTTATTAGAGCTACAGACAAAACCTATATTAAAAAGAATTTTGTATTACCTACAATATCAAATTAAATTACAAAAAATTCAACTTCAATTAAAGAATAGAAGTTAAAATTAAGTAAAAAAAATCAAAATAATATATTATATAAGTAATTTAAGATAAATCTTAATTTAAAAAAATAATATTGATGACAAAACAAAGAGTTGTTTCAACATGGCCTTATTATATACTTATACATCTTTTAATTAATTATGGTGGCTAAGCGACTTTTTTTAGACGGATCTTATTATCATACTTTAGTTTAATCTATTCTAAGTATCTAATTCTTAAGTAAGTTAAATATTTTTGACTTGCCTCAAACCTTTTTGTTTTATTGTCCAAATCTTAATTTGACTTAACTAGGATATTTGATTCTTAGGTGAATTGATATTTTCAACAGATCTTAGACCTATTTATTTACCTCTTCATAATATCTAAATCTTATTGATTCAAATATACTATTAAGTTAATGGAATTGATTAGTATTGTTCTTATCCTATTTGAAGTGTATTTCATGGATACTTCTAAAAAGCCAATGCATACAACTAATTTTGAATATTAAAATAGTGTTTGGATGATGAAAATTAGAATTAATATAAAGATAAGTTCCAACATCTTGTTGAAGCCAAATTATGAAGAAATTTGATTGTATAGTTAGACTAGTGAAAGATGTTGATTAGATTATTTTTATCAAAATCCCTAATGCTAGAATATTTATTGCAAATTAATAAGATTCAATTCCAAATTTTTATTTAAAAAAACATTGATATCTAATAAAAAGCTTATATGGCGTTTTATGCTCTACCAAACCTAGAGACTCTTCTATGGTAGCTAAAGGGATTTATATGTCAAAATTAAATTTTAAAAATTAATGATTTAAACTTTGTTTATTAATTTTTTAAAATATAAAATCTTCTAAAAAATAATCTTGGTAGCTAGGATTTTATTCAATTACATAATATTGATTTGTATTACTTTTCAAACATAATACTTATTTATGGCTTGAAGTTTGTTTATTTTTAAACTAAGTCGTGGTAAGTTTTTTGAAATATTTGATTTTAGATGCAATATTGCTATCTTGGTGACAAAGTGTTTGCATCTTGGCTTTGATTTTATAAATCAAAGTTGTAAAGAATCTTGCATTGGCAGTAGCAAAACTTGTAATGTATATGAATTTTTTTAAGTGCATCCCTAAGTTAGACACAAAAAGCATTCAATACCTTATGTTGATATTATGTTGTTGTTAGTTGGACTATTGGCATTGCAAATTTTTATTTGAATGTTGTGTTTTTAATCATTTACACATAGGTCTATTATTATTTATAACAAAAAAATATGATTTTCTTCTTTAAAGGCTAAAATCTTACCATAGTTGTTGGTAATATTGTATTTTTGTGTTGCTGATTTAAGAACCATTGGTTTTAAGATCCTATAAGAGGCTATAGATGGCTTTGACAAAAGTAGTATAAATTGCAAAAGCAATGGTGTAGCTAGTTTTTCTAATTGAATATGATGGTACTATTGCAAGAATGTTGTGGATTAGAGAAAGATAATTTAATTGTATGAAATCTTCAAAGATCCAATTTTGGTAATTGAAAAATTTATTGATGATAATTTTAATATATATAACATTTCTTATTATGATCTAAAGTAGGAAAGTTGAAATTAACAAATATTTGCTTTAAACTTGGAATAAATAGTATAATAACTATTGTAGTGAGATTTGCAAACATATCTATAAAAGTTGGTTCAAAGAAACTAATTTTATACCATAGTGGTATTGGAGCAATATTCAAGAGAGATGAATGGTTAATTGTGTTGTTGGCTTGAAGGAAACAATTGATTGTCTAAATTTGCAGCAATGCTAAATGTACACATTTGCTGTGCTTTTCAATATAATTATGAAGTTGTCAAAGCTCAAGGTGTTTGATGTAATTTGAGGTATTGTTATAAAATTATTAGAAGTAGAGGCATTCTTTGTGGTCCAAGGTGTTGACATAAGAACAATAAAGCAATATCATAGAATCTCTTTTTGAGATATTGTAGGATGTTTTCTTCCAAAGAGAGAGATATATGCACGTTTATTGGTAGATACTTTTTTACCATATGTGATTGTTGTCACTAGGATTTCAACTTTTGATGGTTACAATTGATTTGGAGTCCAAGTGAATGCTAACGATTGTCAATGAGCCACAATTTAATTTTATTCTACATACTTAAATTTTGCCTTATTAAATGCTTAATATGCAATGTATTTGAGGTAGAAAAAGAACCTTATTAAAGTATTTGTGCTTACATTTATCACTAGACCAATTATTTGGTTTCTAAAAAATAATATTTGGCCATTTAATAAATTGTGAATCTTAGATGCTACACTTATCCTTATAGTTTGGATTGTCTCAATTAAAATATAGAATGTTATTGATAATAAATTTATCTAAAATGAGTATATTTTATAGTTTTATAAAATATCTAAAGAATAGTCAAATTCCAAAGTATTATAATTTTTTCAGGTTCTCAAACAAAAAAATGAATCCAATTAAATTTCTTCAATTGGATAAATTTAATATAAATGAGACATTGAATATTTTCATTATTAATGTAATAGAAATTTTATTTGAAGCTAAATATTGTGATAAAGGCTTATTTAAAGAGCTTCTCTTTGAATAAGTATTATGTAATATTTCAATCAGTTTTAGACCAATGCAAAGATTTGGCATATTTATAAAATAGTCTTAAATTAATATAGCCATTAGACTAATATAATTTTGTAATTGAAAAAAAGAACTTAATTAAAATGAAAATAGTCTTAATAAAAATTAAATCATTATTGATATGTTCAATGATGTAATTGTTATAAATGATGCTAGTATTGATAAACTTTTTAATTAAGAATATATAAAAAGTCATTATATTGTCTCATTGAAATTCAATAAAGTTAATAAGATCAATTCTTTTTAATACAAGCAACATCTTTTGTGCAATTTTTGGCATAAACTATCTAGAATAAGAAGTGATTGAGTGAAGAAGCTTATGATA